GGGTTGTTTGCAAGAAAAGCGGGAGAATCTTATGTGTATAACATCAATGGATGAATGAATGAGATAACTGGCAGAGAGAAGTATAATACTTGTAAATATCGTGCATGCACACATGCTCAGAGAATATGGTATGCAGAACAGTAACTCAATCAGAATTATTTCTCATCCCCATTCAAAAGAGAATTTATACAAAATAAACATTTTCACTTTCACCTGGCCTCATAAGCTTCTTTCCCCGAGGCCTACAACTGCGTACAATGGACATTTTACAAACTTGAGGGAACCCAAAAGAATCTCCCTTGGTTAAAACATTATAACGCTCTCATTGGAAGTAATTGTGACTATTAAAACAAAAAAAACGTTTACATTCAAATAGAAAAGAGTATGCACTCGGTTAGTCATCATTGTCGAATCATGTGACTAGCTGATCTTCACACAATTGAATTTCAGAACGAATTGTGCCACTCTGTGGCAATGCAATACAGCAGCATTAATTAGGCACGTTGTTCAGAAAGAACAATCCTTAAACAAACGTATTCATCCTAAATTTAAAGAAACATGCGCAAGGCTAATTCATCCTTAATTTTATAGGAACATGCACTAGGCTAAATTCATCCTTAATTTATAGGAGCATGCACAAAGCTTACAGACTCTCTATATGACATTACAGACATATTATTACTATATCAACCGCAAATATGCCATTTGTTCACCACAGTACATCCACTAAACAGCCCATCACATGAAAACAAAAGAAGGATTAGAAAATAAGAACAAAGTATATAATTTGACAAAGATCCTGAGAAACAAAGTAATATGCGAACAGCTCAAAACAAAAGCAGCTTCAATTTTAGTCAAAGTTTGATCTGAACTATACAACAAACACCAAAATAAGACAGTAAGGTGCCCAGAATAAACTTGAATACATTAGATGGGAAAATGTACATTATTTTCGGGGTTGTGAACTTATACACCTTACTCAAGATAATCCTATATCTTCTCTCTCTTACCAAAGTCTATTGCTGACTGTTCCTGATATGTAACATTTCTGACACTTTGTCAAGAAGGCATGAAAAGCACACAAAAATATTGCAAAACTTTGCGTAATATGTATCAGATTGTACGCTATATATTACAATACTAACAATACCATGAAATGCAGCAAGAAGAACAGCTGCATCAGAACGAAAAAAAGTAAGAGATGACTTAGCTCAGAACTACTACAAAAAGGCTACAAGGCACAAAACAGTCCAAGATATTTCGTGTAATTAGTGTCCCGAACATCAAACCTATTTCCTGACTCATATGTTGGTGATCAACTGAATGAGTGAAAGAGATCAATATTGGAGAACAATTGTATGTCGCAACGAAAAAATAGAAACATTATCATTAGAAATACATTTAATGCAAAAGCCTCAATTTTTCTAACACTTCATTCAAACAAACAAAATATAATCACTGGCAGATAAATTCATATGATCACAAGAAAGGCCTAGCAAATGGCAACAAGGCAACTTGATAAGTAGGCACCAATAGAAAAAGTGCATTGTAAAGAAGCTTATAGTCCCCAGGTCTCATGATGCTACCAAAGACCTGAAGTGGAATGTGTTCAAGACAGAGAGAGCGTGGATGATTTCAACAAACTTAGAATATTGTCAAAGAAAAATTTTTCTCTCAAAAGGAAAGGTTACGAAAATAATATACTTTTAAAATACAGTTCAGACACAAAGTTTTCAAAATTATAAATTTTGCCCTAATAAATGGTATCTTATGTACAAAAGCAATATGTGTAAAGGAAAATTTGAAGCTATTAATGTGGCAATCAGATCAAGATGTAAAGAGCTCACCATTTGAAAGAAATAAACAAATATATGGGAAAAAAATATAAAGCATAGTGGACAGACAACTAAATCAATATCAGAAATACAACAATTCTTTCTATATGTACATCCAATCTGAATAGAAAACAAAAACTTACATTATCACATGAAGGCAAATTAAAAGATCAGTAACGTTTAATCATGAGCAGAGACTCATTAGCGCACTCATGACTCATTCCATACATATGAGAAGCACTAATTCATTTGCCTATCTAAACTTTTGTTGTCAGCAGCGACATATATTTCAATACCAAGCCACAGCTGTAAGCTATACTTGAAATGTCAAAGCTATACTTGAAATGTTAATTTCAAGCACCTCTTAATCTGGAGGCTCAGTTCGAGCCACATTTACCAACATATCTCGTAATCTCCTCAGAAAAGGATTCACACTGCTCTATAAGATGCCCACTGACTACTCAATGCATCACCAGTTCAACCCCTTCCCCCATTCTTTAAGCTTGAATCCATTCCCCCATCGTGCTGCAACATGCTAGGCGCATGATCCCTATTTTTAAAATATGGATCCGAATACACCCTTAAACGTAACTCAGACTACTTCATTCGAAATGAGACGATGCTGAATACTTAAATCTTCTGTGTTCAGTCACGACTTGCATGTTGACAGCACGGATTTTGATAAATGTCTGAGAATGTTTCCACCAGACTCAGACTGTCTGGTGACAGCCTCAATTGTTATTCACTTCACCACAAACTTTATAAAAAGGAAAACACAATCGTAAATCCGGGATCACACCTCCATCTACAAGGAGATTTTTCAGTGATTGTGTAAACCCTTAAAGCATCTTTATAATTGGCCCTCACTTCCCTCTGGCCCAGATATAACATCTGTAACAATATGTGACTGACTTTGAGGTCACTGGCACCATGTAAGGGAAATATACGTGACTGGGGCTGTAAGGGTTAAGTTGATCAAACTGCATAATCAATAAAATGGGAATTAAGAAATCCATAGCTTCCATACGTACAGCCCAAGCTCATATAAACTACAAAGTCATGAATGTGCTGACTATCAACGCTATGCGAACGTGAACGTTTGGTTGACTTTTTCATGTAGCTGTTGTTGGTGAAAGTGCTACAAGATACATAGTAGTTCATTTCACAGGTAAACTCCTTGGGCCCTGAAAGACAATAAGTCTTTGGACAAATTAACAGCAATAATCCCCTAACTTCTGCGTCAGGATCAAGTTTGTCATTGTGACCAACTAGGAAAAAGTGTCAGGCCTAAGAAAAGTCTATGACACCTTCACTTGTCCTACTCTTTTAGTTGGTTTTAGTAGGGGTTTTACGGTGCTCGCAACTGCATAAGGTCATATGAACACCAAGGGGTGGATGTCAACAGAGAAGTCCTTACAGGGAATCAGACTTACTCTGCTCATCTCTGTTACAAAGTCTGCTTCAATTATCAAGGCACCCCGGAAATAGCGGATCACAAGAGTGTGGACAAACATACAAAAGAAGTAGAGGAAAATGACGAAAGTAAGGATTAGGAAAGAAAAAGCAGCAGTTCCCTGTTGTAGTTCGGGCACAGTTATGAGCATGACATTGTTGGATCAGCCCATTTACAATTCTACTGTGCATTAGAACGAGAAATGTCCCCCCTTTGGGAATGGCCTAAAGACACTTCAGTCAGTGGCACCGCCCCGGGGGGTAGTCCTACTCTTTACCATCTCATAATTAAAGGCATAGTGAGAGGCTACACACCAATGCCCCTCAGTCACCAAAGAGCTTAAAGTTTCTATCTGAACATACCATTGACACCTATGGCTTCACAAGCTAGCAGGACGTTCATAGATCTATATTCGCTGACAATACCAATCCAAGATGTCTACATACAAACAAAATATAGACTTGAGCTGGAGAGGTTCTTAAAGAAGAGATGGTAAACCGTATCAGTACTCATTCAAAAATATGTATGACAAGAAAAGCATTATTTTTCTCAAGGCATGGAATGATCAACATACTACAGAAAACCTTCTCTAGCATGGTCGATGAGATTTGTTTTAAAACACAGCACATATCCATATTTGCCAACATTCACACATTGCTTTAAAGTAACAAAAAGTCAGCAAACCCAAGATCATACTATGTTTCAACATAAATAATATACATAATTTAATGTAAATTTTTATATGAGAAGATATTTGTAAAATACCAGTAACAAGATGCAGTAATCACAAAACAATTGTCATGTCAAGTTTCATTGGAAAGACACTGACTCATCTGCTGCAGGTGAACATCACAGAGTACTAACAAGGCAACCATTGAATAACAACAAAACATTACTAACATTGTGGCTGTACCTTGGAGAATGGTTCAGAAAAATGACACATGTATAATGGAATCCAAACCAGATGGAAGTGTTTACAACAATTCACTTCTAACTTAATGAAAGTACATCAGCAGCTATCTGTATCTGTGCCAAAAGCTCATTTGCCTCAAAGGCCTTTGCAATGATCATTATTAAATGTCTGTAAAGTTACAGAATTGTAGTACAGTAGACTTAGGGAAGACAATTAACAACTACAGGTCAAGTACTTTTCTGTTCACATATACTAATATGAGGAATTATCCCTTTTCAGCGTCAGTGTTTCAAGCTGCATAGATTATATGTCTATAACTTCTATGACCAGAGATCAATAAGAATCACAGTGGTTTGGACTTGGAATCCTCTTTTTGTTCCATTTTTCTGTTTAAACTGAACAAATTGGACTTGAATTTCCCTGCCCTTGAAACACAATTTTAGGTGGCTCTTCAATAAGAAGCAGTGGGTACAAAACAGACTCTCAAAGCAACCTAGATTCATAAACACTCTCAAGGCAGTTAATGGGCTGCCAGTATCTCTGCCATCAGTCTTACCAAAAGAGCTAACAATATTGTGCCCTACGACAAATTATAAGAACTCCCTAATGATGTATCGGTGAGTAATATGAGGCATTACTGAAAGCACATTGCTCCAAACTGCAAACTAAAATTGGCACACACACACATCACAAAGTGTAAGACTTTCGTGGTCATGCTGCTATAACTTCCTGTGACTAACAGGATCTAAAAACCCCAGCACGACCTCCTTCTTCTAATGAATGGCACCACAGGCCAGGATATGCAAAGCCAATTTGGATTTGCTACAACAGAGACATAGAACAGAAAGCACCATGTGCACATATTTAAGGCAGTGGTCACAGTAGAGAACTGAGCATAGAAATCAAGAACTCCTGCCCGTCTTTGATACTCCACGTTATTTGGGTATTTGACATACACCTGACAGGTTTCAAATACCTGCTCTTTGGATAAAGACGAACAAGTCTAGTCTCTCCCTGGCAATTACAGAATCACAAAAAGTAGACAGCAGTCTTTTTGCATACAGGCGAAATCATGTGCAACAGCAAATCAAATATGAATCAAAGTACAAGCAAAACCTCTTGTCAATGAGATAAAAATGTAATAATAATGATAATAATAATAATATGATGATGATGACCATGACAATAAATTCTCACATCAAGATTAACATATGAATTCAACACTTCAATATAATATAGCTGTGTTGTAAATTTTTAACTGAAGACAACATTACAACATACAATTTCACATCACATGGACTCCCTATACGACAAAATATTTCTTTACTGAAGTGAAGACTACTAGTGCACCCAACATTCCCTTTGTATAGCTGAGTAGAACTACAGAAATAATCAGAAGGCAGCAACAACAACAACAATAATGCACATGCTTTGAGCTTGTAAGACTAAGGGACATAATACTGTCCTCAAATTAAAGGGCTTGGTCATCTTGAACTTATTGCCACCCTTCAAGATGCACAAATTATCAATCACGTGAAAGGAAAGAGAATATTACTGGCAACCGACAACAATATCTGAGAAAACAGGTGTTATGTGTCTCAGATAACAAATGTAAGGCAGCTATGCTCATTTCTAAAGAATTCTCTACTTCCCTTTTCAACAAGAGAAAAGTTGTTAAGACAGCCCTATGACAATTAGAGAACATTGTTATAGCTACTGCCATATGGAATTACTTGAAATATTTAGAATTTAGAAGACACAAATATTATAACACACAAGAGAAACAGAACCAGTCCAGTACAAAATTTAATCAGGTCAGATCATAGAGTAACAGAAAATTCACCACCTTTTATCAAAATAATACCATGAATAAGTGAGAGACCAAAGATTTTATAAGTAAAAGATAAAAAAATAAAGGTATCGTCATCTCAGGCTGGGCCTGCGCCTGATTTTAAAATTGTCATAAATGCTGTGGAATAATTATGGCAATCAAGCGATGACAAAGCTCCCAGTACTCTCAAATCTTCTCCACATAGTTCTCGGGGAACAGACCCTCGCGGTTCCTCAGCCGTCCCTTCCACCAGCCCGAACCATCTGCAACAAACAGATTCAACATCCACAATTCAGAAGTATTAAAGTGTAAAACAATTTTGCACACAAGTAAGACGTAATGTCTGCACTTTTTTAATCCAGTTCACCCTGGGTAGCCTTTGGCAGTGAGCTTGTCCCCTCCTGGCTTGCCACAAGTTCGGTAAAAAGTATGTCGTAACATGAGACACTAACTTTAGACATGCATTGTGCCCAAACTATTTAACCTATCAATGTAAAACATTGATGAAGTTTATTGGGCTAATAAACATTGAATTCTATTTGTTAACATTGTAAGGGACATTTTAGTTGTTTTGGAAACGTAGAAGTTAGTGCAAAAACCCTACATACATGTACATAAGCTGAACAAGATGAGTTAAGGCAACTAGGACACAAAACTAAGAGGAGTCTACTTCATAAGAGCAACAAAAACATGACACATTTATCTTCTTTAGAGCAATTAGAAAATAATATTGATGCAACAGGAAGAACTTTTTTTTTTGGGGGGGGGGTTCTAATGCTACTACCGAGGTCAATCAGTTAGTCCTAAAAAAAATCAACAAGCACCAAAGACAGTATAAACGTATCGTGGTCTAACTTTTGTGTCTTCTCTTATCGTATAAATCACAAGCAGGGGAGGGGGTTGTGTACTCAATAATTTTCCAGAAACCAGCTACACAGTTTGAGCCCAACACCATTAACATGATTACCTTTTTTTTGTTTTAGAAGAGGTGTTACGGCGCTCGTAACTACATAAGGTCATATGAGTGCCAGAAGATTATAGGTGTTACAAGAGAGTAACAAACACAAAAAAGAAGGAGGGGAGATAAAGACGATAGATGTTTATTAGGAAAGAAGAAGCAAACCACACCAGAGCACACGCCAACCTCCCACTTACCTTCTTTGATAATGTCAATGATGTCCCCTTCATTGAAGCTGAGTTCGTCAGTATCCTGAGCATCGTAGGCGTACAGACAGCGGCACTGTGGCAGCTGGGGACGCGGAGTGGGCTTGGGCTTGGCAGCTGGCCGTGGTCGACCGCCACCAGGCAGTGGGCGGGCCAGGCTCTGTCGCTGGGCCCTGTATACACACAGACCGACAGACAGACAGGCAGACAGACAGACAGACAGACACATAAATGCACAGGAACAGGGCCACACATAAACATAAACAAACATACACAAATGCACACATGACAAACAAACACAAATGCACAAAGACACACAGACAAATACACACATAACACAAAAAGGGAGGGGGGGGGGGCGCAGAAAAAGAGAACAAAGTCATTAGCATTACCAATATATAAAACAAATTTTCACATTTCAACTTAAGTAGGTGATACAGACTACTAATCAAGCCATTCAAATGTCAACATTCAACATTTTAAAAAGTAGAAAATCAGAGCTCTAAGACAGACCTAGTACAAATTTCTCAGCTTTCCTTTTTTTTTATCAGCTACATTTTCACAAACAGGTTGATATGACGTCATGAGTTTGATGATGGTGTCTTTGGCACCAATTTCAGCAAAATGTATGACATAAAAAGCTGTGGAAAGAAATAAAATCTTAATTGTTCTAACAGACCTTGCTCCCAGAAGCCTTTATGTGAATACGTCCCGTAAAAATATGGCACCCTATAAAATTACTGTTTGCAAAAAGCGAGAAACAAAAATTAACTATACATAAGAAAGATTTGCATGCCTAGAGCACTGAAATTGGCGATGCAAAGACACTTTAAAAATTATTCACCAAATCATTTCTTGAGCCCCTTTGATTCGAAGTTCACAGACAAACCACTTCAGTTTCTTAAATAATACCAAAATGTGAAATGTTTCAGGACCCATGAGAAGGAACAACCTCGGTCAAAAGGGAAGTTAGAACGTTTCTTTCAACATAATATTAGTCTATATAAAGTTATTGCAACTTATATACATAATTTTTCCAAAGTTAGAGAAGATATTTTTAAATCTTGCATAGTAATACCAAAGTGGATCTGTAACAATTCTTGGTTTTAAAACAAGTATATTAAGGAGTCGAAATAAAGTTTTTGATAGTTATTCCCTCAGTGCAAAATCAGTTCACAAATTCTTTTCCAAACCAACAGGCATCTTTTTTCAAAAACAGGCCAGTGTACTACTAGCAGTTCAGACTACTCACACACCGTACCCCCACAACATGCCATCAAAGTACCAGCACAGACAACGATATCACAGAGGTAGTGGAAACAAGTGAAAAGTTTCATCACAAAACCCCTTAGAAGGTTGTTTAGTCAACTTGACAAAAACACCAGAATACATATCAGATAGATAAAACTACCACCTCAAACATGTTTTGCTTGTTTGTTTGAGTTTGAAGAAAGAGAAGCACATCCACACAATGATGGTCATTAGTGCTGGGGGGAAAATAAGACAGACAGACAGACTGAAACAACAGAAGGAAAGTAAAGAAGTAGGGTCTACCAATGGAGCCCTCCAACCACCCACAACATTTTTTGTAAGGTTCTTCCCAGCAAGCAGCAGCATAAAACAAATACAATATCAGACAATTCTGCGACCACATTCTGCAGCTTCTCTGGCGCCCAACCACAAAACACAGTTTATGAGTCAAAAGCATTTTCTCCCTGATTAACAACAGACACTGCCAGTCAAACACACTCTTTGCAACAAACATAGGAAAATGACATGAAGTAGCAGAGATCAAAAGTTCGAAGTCAGAACCAGAAAGAAGCAAATCCCAGTAACCAATGGCCCCAATAATCAATCAATATGCTGAGTGGAAAGCAGAGGGAAAAACACATTTATTTCAGTCAATTTACTGTCTCGTGCTATGAGGATTTTAAAATGTGGAATGGTACAGGGTTTAACTTCCATGTCAGCACTATTATGTTATTTAAGAGGCAGGACCTCCGACGAAGATTTAACAAAGTTTTAAAATCAAAATAAAATAAAATGTGCAATAAGAAGAAATTTCACAAAGACCCACAACTCTGGTGCTGAGATTTTCAAATACAAGCAGCGTGTCTTGTCAGCATGCTAACAATCGACAGACAGACAGACAGACAGACAGACAGACAGACAGACAGACAGACAGACAGACAGATAGACAGATACACAGACAGACAGATAGAGACACAGAGACAGAGACGGAAAGAGAGAGACAG